ATCTCATAGTAACATGCAAGGACCCCACCATAATTCAATGGGCCAAGCTTTCCCACATCAAAAACGCCAATCGCATAACAACATGCAACGACCCTTCCATAATCCAATGGGCCAATCCCCATTTTTACCTGCTTTTCACTATTCTCCTTTTCCTGTGAATCCTTGTTATTTTCCTCCTTTTCGGATCCCAACATACCACCCCACACCCCAACCTTCCCTTTATCCTCCTTCTTTGATGTAGAAAAACAGATACCTGTCAGAATTACGACACGTACATTAAATTTGAAGAGTGTTTATTCTACTGGAATGTTTTATAATAAGCAACATAACGCAGAGAACTGCATTGTAATTAAAAATTATAAGAAAACCATTGACTGTCCTTCCCTAACAAAGAACGCGAATAATCATAATCACTCAAATTCAAAACTAAAGCTGGCTCATTTGAATGTCAGATCTCTGAAAAATAGAGATAATTTGATCCAGTTGAGGGAACTTAATGACGAACATCAGTACGACATTTTAACGATATCGGAATCATGGCTTAATTCCACAGTAAAAAATTCAGAAGTTGAAATTGAAGGTTACAGACTGTTGCGGTTGGATCGCCTTGGTAAACGTGGAGGTGGTGTTTGTGTTTTTACTCGTAACTCACTGAAAACAAAGATTATAAAGGATATATCTGTAATTTCATCAATGGGCTTTCATCAATTGTGGATATTAATCCAACATAAGAAAATGAAATCTATTGTGCTATGTGTTGCTTATAGACCTCCTGACTGTCCAGTTTCCTGTTTCATGGACGATTTCATGGACAACTATTCATATGCACTTACTTTGAAAAAAGATATATTCGTAGTGGGTGATCTAAATTGTAACTTATTAAAAAGTCGTCCAGAATCTGATGCGTTGAACGAATTGTGCAGCAGCTTGAATTTATTCCAACTTATCAAGGAACCAACTAGGGTGACTTTGCAGTCCTCATCTCTCATCGATGTGATTTTAACATCTAACACAAGCTTGGTAGTGGAAAGTGGAGTTGAAGAAACGCACATCAGTGACCACTTTCTGGTTTATTCAATATTAAAGCTTAAATTGCCTAAGAAATTACCTGATTACATGGTCATAAGAAGTTTTAAGAATTATTCCTCTGAAGCGTTTAAAAATGATCTAGAACAGCTGATTTGGCAAGAAAATCCAATTGACCAGGGCGTTAACCAGCGACTGGACAATTTTAATCAGAAATTTCTAAGTGTATTAGATATGCATGCCCCGATAAAGACTGTTAAGATTAAACGTCGCTTGTGCCCTTTTGTTGACCAGGAAATTGTTCAACTTATGAAAAAAAGAAATGCGCTGCATAAACTTGCCCGCCAAACCCTGCAGGCCTTGGACTGGGACAGATATCGTTCATGTAGAAATCAAATTAAAAGAAAAGTGAGAGAATCCGAGAGAAAATTTGTGTATAAAAGAATTAATGACAAAAATAGCAACAACAACTCCCTTTGGAAAACTGTAAGAGAATGTATTCCTAGAAATGAAAAAACACGTTTAACTTATTCTGGGAATGTCGTTGAAGTAGCGAACAAATTTAATGAATACTTTTCTTCAGTCGGAGCAAAAGCGGCAGAAGAATCCAAAGCGTTGATTACTTCATATGGTCTTACATCGACTCATCCAGAGATACCACATAAATTTAGTGCAGAAATTGACAAGTTTCATTTTCACCCTGTGTCCTGTGACGTGATTCGTAAAATTGTGTGTTTTTTTCCATCCAATAAGTCCCCTGGACCAGATAAAGTTTCTGTGAAAGTGATCAAAGATGCCTTACCATACATTCTTCAACCTCTTACGGATATTGTTAACTGCTCTTTAAGAGAATCTTTGTTTCCCAGCGCCTGGAAGTTGTCAGAAGTTATTCCCCTATTAAAAGAAGGGGATCACGAAATTGCTAAAAATAATCGGCCAATTTCCTTGCTACTTGCTGCATCAAAGATCTGCGAGCGTGTAGTTTTGGAACAATTTACCGCATATGTGGAACAGAAGAAATGCTTAAGCGTACACCAAAGTGGAAACAGGAAGCTGCACTCCACTGAAACATTGAATTTATTTATATCGGATAAGATCTTAAAGTCTATGGACGACAAGGAGGTCGTAGCTGTAATTTTACTAGACCTTTCTAAAGCATTTGACAGTATCGATCATGTATTGCCTCTAAAAAAGCTCCAAGTATTGGGAGTGTCCGATGACGCTTTATGTTGGTTTAAAAGTTACTTGACAGGACGACAGCAGGTTGTTCGCATTGGATCGACTGTCTCTGAAACACGCACACTCAATCATGGCGTTCCGCAGGGCTCAATTCTCGGTCCCATGTTATTCAACATATATATTAATGATTTACCTATGGTACCAAAGAATGGTAATTTGAAGTCTTACGTCGACGAGTCGAAGCTACTTTTGTCATTTTCCGTCAATGAAGTGAACTCAGCGGCTGCTAAGCGAAACGAAGATCTACGGAGAGTCGTTTCTTGGTGTTCTCTAAATAGTCTGCTTATTAATCCCAATAAGACGAAATTACTTGTGTTCGCAACTCGTTATATGTTGAAACAGATACCGGCAGATTTCCATATTTTATTATTGGGGAAAAAACTGTTTCCTGTGACCTCAGCCACTGATCTAGGCGTGACACTGGATAGTGGTTTGACGTACGATGAACACGTCACAAAACTGGTTTCCTCTTGTGTCGGTAGCCTGTGTCAAATTAATAGAGCAAGGCACCTTTTTGATATGAAGACGTTAATTCTTTTAATAAACGCGTTGGTTTTTAGTAAACTCTATTACTGTTCAACCATATGGTCTAATTCATCGAAGAAAAACATTGCAAAATTGCAAAAAGTTCAGAATTTCGCAGCACGTATTGTCACGGGCACAAAAAAATTCGACCATATCACTCCATCTTTAAAACAGCTTAACTGGTTACCAGTCAATTATATGTTGCGATTCCGAGATACAGTAATGGCTTATAAATGTGTTAATGGTATGGCCCCATCATATTTATGTCGTATGTTCCAAACAAGATCACAATTACACAATTTGAACACAAGATCTAGCGAATTATTGGAAATACCTTTATATAGAACAGCGACCGGACAACGTTCTTTTCGCTACCGAGCTTCTTGTTTATGGAACAGTTTACCAGAATGGCTAAAAGACCATAATCTTAATTTGGAACGTTTTAAAAGCGGGCTACGAAGTTATTTGGTTCAACAATTTCTCGATGAACAGAACTGAATTACATCTTTTACTGGCTAAATTTTAAATTAAATAGTATTAATAAGTGTTTTACCTTAAATATAACTAGTTTGATATTATATATTTTGGTGTTAATAGTATATTATATAGTTTTTAGAATATAATTTAATTAAGTAATTACTTTTTATAACTTCTGTATTGAACACTGAAAAACCCTTCTGGGAGTGTTTAACATTAATAATAATAATAATAATAATAATCAGGTTAAATACAATAGTTAACCTAGCTTTATATAAAATGTACATACATGTTCTAATAATTGTATTTTGCTTCATACAATGCATATGTGTGTGGAAACATTACATTATTATTCAGCTCACTCCCCACATTGGGGCTTTTCAGTGATCGATTACATCAAGTACTATGATTACTTATGTTAGCCTAGACTATTTATCTTTACAACAATGAGGATATGATATTACTTTCCTAACTGTGTTTATCCTAACCCACCCTGCCAATTTTGCCCTGTGGGAGGAAACCGGAGCAAAATATAGAATTCAATTCCTTTGAAAACACCTAAATTATTGCAATCCCTAAAATTTAGAATTTTTTCTTAAATCGCCTAAAATCGCACTAAATCGCAGTGCTTGAAAGTCCCAGTTTTTCTTTGAATCGCCTAAAATCGCCCAAAATCGCATTATATCGCAGCGATTTAAGGCGATTTACCGCCCCAGAGTAGGCCTTTCATTGTTTTTTTAGTAGAAAAACGTTGATTAAATCAAAACAGATTCATTTTTATGTGTTTTTGATCGGACTGAACATGAACCTGTCGTTGTCAGGAGCAACCATGGAGCAACTGATTTTGCCAAGGCCAAAATCCAGGCATAAAAGGTTTTTATTCCAAATCTTCTCTGCTACCATAGTCATGAAAAAATCACGTGTTACGGGGTGCACTCATGAGTCTGGGACATAATTGCTCCTTAAAATGAACACGGACACCCCGAACCACAATGTTTATGTTAGGACTTGATATTCGTAAAATAACAGTATAGAACGTATTGTTATCGTCGGGATTTATGAAATAAAAAAGCTTTTACTTGTTTATACTTAACATAACATGGTACCAGGAGTGAATTAAGCGGTTATTTATCGATTGGAAAGTCTGTTGTGCAGCAGCAACTCCGTGAACTCGCGCAAGACGAGGCGGAAGTGTGAAACATTCCAGGAGATATTGTAAAAATATTTTAAATATGTCGGACCATGATGAACCGACAACATCGATGGCGTCTCAGCAGGTTAAAGTGATACAAATTCCGGTGAATTTGCCCATGCCACCGCAGCTGGCCATGACAGGTAATCTGGCAACGAATTGGAAAAGGTTTTATCGCGCGTGGAACAACTGCGAGATCCGAATAACCCTAGTACAAATAAAGAACTAAGAACAGCGACTCTGTTGACGTGCATTGGAGCTGATGCTCTTGATGTGTTTGACGGACTGGACTTCGCGAATGAAGACGAGAGAAAGGACATCGATGTTGTCGTAAGCAAGTTGGAAAAGTATTGTATTGGAGAGACAAATGAGACGTACCAGGCGGTGTGCGCACTACGCTCCGCGGAATTATGGGTAAAAACACAAAATTTCTCATTTCCATATGATACGCCGAATATAGAACAGCTCCATAGCGAAAGAAGCGATGGGTATTAAAACTTTATTACGGGAGGTCACACGAAAAGCAAACCTTGAAGAGTTTCAAGGACAAACTGCTGCAGTTGATGCTTCGTGTTTGTTGCATAGAGCGCTATCAATAAGCATGAGTCGAAATGGCGACGAAAGCAGGTATATATTTCAGTATACAATGAGTTATTTGTTTATTGTTTATATTGATCTGTTCAGAAAATTATAACATTATTTTGAAAAGAAAAAACGTTCAATTTTAGATTACTTGATCTTCTTAATTCATACGTCGATCTTCTTGAAAGAAACGGAATCAAACCATATGTAGTATTTGATGGATTAAGATTGCCAGCGAAAGAACTTGAACGTGTAAAAAGGACAAGGTGAGTATCGTCTTTGTCGACGCAACTTTTATGTAAATTACCTCGCATATCGATTTCAATCGATACGAAGAGACGTACGAACGAACCTGGAGACGTACGAACGGTATTGTTTTAATAAAAGAGATCAAGAGTCACACGAAACGGTTGATGCTTACTTCGCAGCCCTTCGTACTTTAGCCAAGACGTGCAACTTTGGTAATTTGGAAGACAACTTGATAAGAGATCGTATTGTCATGGGTATTAAGGACAACGCCACACGAAAGAAATTATTGCAAGTCTCAAAGCTTACTCTGCAACAAAGTATAGATATAGTTCGGTCTTGTGAAAAGACGGCGAAGCAACTCGAGTCGATGAAAGTTGAAGGTGAGCAAGTGTCGGCTGTTGGAAAAGAACAGTACAAAGAGCAAAGGAAGCGAGTCGAGAAAAGAGATGAAGAAGTGTTAATCAAGTGTAAATTTTGCAACAAATCTCATCCCAGAGATAAGTTCAAATGCCCAGCCTGGGGCAAAACATGCTCATTGTGTAAAAGAAAGAATCATTTCGCAGTCGTCTGTAATGCTCAACGAAGACCATTTAGCCAACGAAAGTCAGTATCGGGCGTCAACGATGATACAGACTCATCGGAGGGAGAATATATAGCTCTGGTGGAGACCAAAGAAGAGGTAGGTGCAGTTAACTCTGATCAATACACCTACAAACCAAGTGCCCCCTTGATGATTAACAAAAACCTAGAAAGTTTTCAACTTGACAGTGGAGCCACAGTAAATGTATTATCTAAAAGGACACTGGCAGGTTGTTTTCGAAAGCCTATTGAGAAGAAGCTGGTGAAAACAAACACAACCCTTGTAATGTACAATGGGTCCGAAGTGAAGCCTATTGGAAAGACAAGGATTCAAGTTATTAATCCTAAGAATAACAAGAAATACAGTGTAGAGTTTATGGTAGTGGAAGAGAATTGCAAGTCCATACTCGGGGCTAAAGCTAGTCAACTCATGAACTTACTTGCAGTTAACAAAGAGAACATTTTTACTACCGAGTCAAATGTCAAAGATGTACCCAAGTTTATCACCAAACAGCATCTCATTGAGGAGTATCCAGCAGTGTTCCAGGGTCAAGGAACTTTACCGGGCACATTGCATCTGGAGATTGATGAATCCATCTCCCCAGTCCAGCTCCCAACACGAAGGATTCCACTGGCTGTGAAAGATAAACTCAAAGCAGAGCTCAACCGACTAGTCGATGTGAACGTCATAGCTCCTGTAGATACACCGACGACCTGGATATCGGCTATTGTGGTTACAGTCAAGAAGAATGGTGACATCCGATTGTGTATTGACCCAAAGCCATTAAATAAGGCTCTCAAGCGTAACCATTACCCTTCACCCACCATTGACGATATCCTACCGGATTTGGCCCAGGCTCGCTGTTTCTCAGTCCTTGATGCCAAGAACGGGTTTTGGCATGTCCGTCTTGATGAGCCCAGTTCCTATGCAACAACTTTTGGCACTCCGTGGGGTGGTACCGGTGGCTGCGCATGCCCTTTGGCATATCACCCGCACCCGAAGAGTTTCAACGTCGTGTGAATGACATCTTGCTGGGTCTCCCTGGAATAAAAGTCATTGCAGGTGACATTCTTGTTTATGGAAGTGGTGCAACCGATGAAGAAGCTTATCTAGACCACGACAAGAACCTCAGGGGTTTGATGGAACGATGCAGAGAGAAGGGTCTCAAGCTGAACCCTGACAAGATCCAACTTCAACTCAAAGCGGTAAGCTACATGGGCCATCGTATTACATCGAATGGACTAAAGATTGACCCCGAGAAAACGAAGGCTATCCGAGACATGCCAGTCCCCACAGATAAGCTGGGAGTGCAGCGGTTGCTTGGTATGGTGAACTATGTTCAGAAGTTTGCCCCTAAGCTAGCTGAAATTACTACACCTTTACGTGATCTGATCAAGAAAGGAAATGAATTCATATGGGAGGAACATGTACACGGGAAAGCGTTGGATGAAATCCGGCAGATCCTCTCAGAACCACCAGTACTACGGTTCTTTGATCCCAATGTAATGCCAGTCCTGCAGTGTGATGCGTCCATGAATGGTCTTGGAGCATGCCTTTTACAAAACAATCAACCAGTGGCATATGCATCAAGGTCTCTAACACCAACTGAAGTGCAGTACGCTCAGATCGAGAAAGAGATGCTGGCCATCGTGTTTGGGATGGAAAGATTCGAAAGTTATCTGTATGGTCGACACGTAAAGTGGAATCAGATCACAAACCACTAGAGTCTATTTTGAAGAAAAGCCTACTAAGTGCACCGAAACGCTTACAAAGAATGATGCTACGACTCCAGAAGTTTGAGCTCGAAGTTGTGTACAAGAAGGGGCCACTTATGTTTATGGCAGATACACTAAGTCGAGCAACTCTCCACCAGCCTAATGCCGAAGGACCAGGAGAGACAGAAGAAGTAATGATTATGCATGACACAAGATCAGCAACGGAAAGAGAAGTAGAGCAAATTGATATGTTGCAGAACCTAGCGGTAAGAGAAACTACTTTAGTCCAAATTAAAGAGCACACGGATGCAGACAACCACCTGCAGGCGTTGGTTCGAATTGTGAAAGAAGGATGGCCAAGTACACTAGCTGAAGTTTCTCCAGAATTACGAGTCTATCACCCGTTTCGCGATGAGTTGACAGTACAGAATGGAGTTATTTTTAAAGGAGAGCGGTTGATTGTGCCAGAAGGATTGAGAACAGAAATGAAAGAAAAACTTCACTACAACCATGGCGGGGTACAGGCTACACTTAGAAGAGCAAGGGAAGTATTCTATTGGCCAGGGATGAACAAGGACATTGAGGATGTCATCGCGAAGTGCAATGTTTGTGCGCAGTATCGAGCAACAAACCAAAAAGAACCTCTTATGAGTTCTCCAGTCCCAACACGTCCATGGGAGTCGATCGCAACAGATCTGTTTGAGCTTCGAAACAAAGACTACCTTGTTACAGTGGATTACTACTCTAACTTTATAGAAGTAGACAGATTATACTCGAAGACAAGCACTGAAGTTATCCAAAAATTAAAGGCACACATGGCACGTTGCGGTGTACCTGAGCGGGTAGTCAGTGATAATGGGCCACAGTACAGTTCCAGCGAGTTTCAGGACTTTGCTGCGCAATATGAATTCGAACATGTAACCTCGTCGCCTCGATATCCTCAATCAAACGGGAAAGCGGAAAGTGCGGTGAAGACAGCAAAGCGAATTATGATGAAAGCGTTAGACGCGAAAGCAGATCCTTATCTGGCCATGCTCGAACACAGGAACACACCATCAGAAGGTATGAGTACCTCGCCAGCACAACGATTATTTGGAAGGAGAACAAGATCCACAATTCCAACCTCGCGTAAATTGCTTGAGCCTACCTGTATGCATTCTACAAAACAGGAGCTCCAACAGGCAAAAACTAAACAAGCTTACTATTACAACAAGGGGTCAAAGAAACTTCCAACACTCAAGGTCGGTGATGCAGTCCGTATGATGCCCGAGAAAGGAAAGAAAAGCTGGAGGAAAGGAAAGGTGAAAGCGATTGTTAGTCCGCGGTCGTATATTGTTGCAACTGATGATGGAGGAAACTATAGAAGAAATCGCAGGCATCTTCGAAAAACTGTGGAACGAGACGAGTTAGACGCAGACATAGAATTACCAATGGAAGAACATGATGTACCAGACCAACAGCAGCTGCCAGAATGCGAGGAACCGGTTGCTCATGAACCTGGAGAGCATGCAGCTCCCAATGGTACAAGGAGAACATCCAATAGACAAACACGTAGACCAGCATATCTCGAGGACTATGTCATTGAATCCTAATGCAAGTTTAATTAATTAAAAACACGTTTATGTTGAAATTTGAAGGAGGAAGATGTTACGGGGTGTACTCAGGAGCCTGGGACATAATTGCCCCTTAAAATGAACAAGGACACCCCGAACCACAATGTTTATGTTAGGACTTTATATTCGTAAAATAACAATATAGAACGTTTTGTTATCGTCGGGATTTATGAAATAAAAAGCTTTTACATGTTTATACTTAACATAACAGCGCTCGCATTCGAAATCCGTAAAAATTTTGCACTCCCCCCTTCCAAAAGTTTAGACCACTGCAAAAGTTCTGAAAAACTGAACGTTTATTTAAACTCTTGGAATACTATCCCCGTCTTACCGTCTATGCGCTTTAAATAGTTGGCTTTTCTTACCAAACACAAATACTACAAAAGTCGGTCCCAGAACATAGGACACCCCCCCAAATTTTTTTCGAATGTGCGCCCCTGGGGTTATTAGTGGTTTCTTTCTTTTTCTCTAGTGGGACATACTTAATCTGGCAATGATAGTGTATGATGTTACTAACGATCAATCGTTCAACGCTTGCACAAAATGGATTGAAAAATGCCAGCAGAAAAAAACAACAAATAAAATGATTGGTGATTGATATATTTTATATCTAACATTAGAAAGTAATAAAGTTGGTACTTCCTTCAGAATGCATAAATTTGGCTACTTATAACTTCCCGAAACATTGAAGTTCTCCTTGTATTTTTCAGGTAGTTACATCGATCTTACCAATGTGAAATTTTTTCATTCAATACCAATGCATTTCCTAACTGTTTAGGTGTCTTGGTTGCAAACAAGACAGATTTAAAACAACGACGAGTGGTTTCAATGAAGCAAGGCAAAGAACTTGCTGAATCACATGGTCTAGAATATTTTGAAACTTCAGCTGTTAGTATTCAATTGTCAAATATTATTTATACTTGTTTGATTTCTTCAATATTAACCCTTTACAGTGACAAACTCCCTGATGTGCCCTATTTTATTATTTTACTCAGTCTAACGCCAGATTATTTTCCTTGTCAAGGGGAGAGTGCTGCCACTCAATGGGTTAAACTTGACTCTTTGTTCTTCTTAGAAACAAAATCAGAATGTTGAAGCAGCATTTTACTACCTTGCCAACACATACCACCAAGTGTATAATGACAGGATTGCTCAAATGCACTCGATGGTGTGAGAGGATTGAAGGAGATTAAATATAGGATATTTATGTTGTACATTTGTAAATAAATGCACAAAAAAAACATGTATTGTTGCTGTTGAAATAGTCCTTATCAAAACAAAGAAAAGACAGTGGGATGTTCTGGTCATGGAATCATCAATCATGATTGGAAGGCACTCTTGTAATGCTAAATGTTATCATTGTTATGTCAAAGGACCATACCCCTACCTGCAACTTTTGGCTTCCCTAATTAATATTAATATGCAAAAACACTCCATATTCGACCGGCTCGTGTACATAATTAACAACCAGTTACACAACTGTTGCCTGTAGTTATATGAAGTATTTTAGAAAGATGCCAAACCGCGTGCCTTGAATTCTGCAGGCGCGGAATTGAATTTCTCATCCAACACAATCTCGTTCCCCGAGCATGCCCGTTCGCAGGTTAGCGTTGTCCGCAATTGACGTCACGAAAATTCGACCCCCCGCGAAGACTCAGACAAACATTGGCAACATTTAATATAAATAGTATTATGATTAAGAGCTTCCCGTGAGTTAGTTTAATAGTTTGATGTTTGTTTATGGTTTATTTGTGCGAAATCATACACACCTTGTACTTTTCGCTTTACCTGAAGTGCCAGTGCAAAATATTTTTGCTTTGGAAGTAGAAATATACAGTTTTTCGTCACTTTAGTATCGACAGTCATGTCGTTTCTATCACAGGCGGTGTCTACTGTATTATAATAGTACATGGTTTGGCGTAACTGTTGCTATAAAGAGGCCATAAAGAAAGGGTATGCAAAAGAAAGGGCGATAGAAAGTCTGTAGTAGCAGATATTTAACCGAAAAAATCTCGTGGTCGTACCAGATTTAATTCGTAGCCCTAGCGAATCAGTTCTAAAGTTCCCTATTTAATGTTGTTGATTTCATGTTTATACTAACTTATATTTTAATACTCGCTTTAGTGTGCATTATTTTATT